GTTGTTTACATGTATTCCTGATCTAGTCTGCTCACACCCCTGCTGCTACACCAGCAGGGGTGTGAGGAGACTAGAGCAGCACCAGCAGCAGCAGCAGGAGTGTGAGGAGACTAGAGCAGCACCAGCAGCAGCAGCAGCAGGGGTGTGAGGAGACTAGAGCAGCACCAGCAGCAGCAGCAGGGGTGTGAGGAGACTAGAGCAGCAGCAGCAGCAGCAGCAGGAGTGTGAGGAGACTAGAGCAGCAGCAGCAGCAGCAGCAGGGGTGTGAGGAGACTAGAGCAGCAGCAGCAGCAGCAGCAGGGGTGTGAGGAGACTAGAGCAGCAGCAGCAGCAGCAGCAGGGGTGTGAGGAGACTAGAGCAGCAGCAGCAGCAGCAGCAGGGGTGTGAGGAGACTAGAGCAGCAGCAGCAGCAGCAGCAGCAGCAGCAGCAGCAGCAGCAGCAGCAGGGGTGTGAGGAGACTAGAGCAGCAGCAGCAGCAGCAGCAGCAGCAGGGGTGTGAGGAGACTAGAGCAGCAGCAGGGGTGTGAGGAGACTAGAGCAGCAGCAGGGGTGTGAGGAGACTAGAGCAGCAGCAGGGGTGTGAGGAGACTAGAGCAGCAGCAGCAGCAGCAGCAGCAGCAGGGGTGTGAGGAGACTAGAGCAGCAGCAGCAGCAGCAGCAGGGGTGTGAGGAGACTAGAGCAGCAGCAGCAGGGGTGTGAGGAGACTAGAGCAGCAGCAGCAGCAGCAGCAGGGGTGTGAGGAGACTAGAGCAGCAGCAGCAGCAGCAGGGTGTGAGGAGACTAGAGCAGCAGCAGCAGCAGCAGCAGCAGGGGTGTGAGGAGACTAGAGCAGCACCAGCAGCAGCAGCAGCAGCAGGGGTGTGAGGAGACTAGAGCAGCAGCAGGGGTGTGAGGAGACTAGAGCAGCAGCAGGGGTGTGAGGAGACTAGAGCAGCAGCAGCAGCAGCAGCAGCAGCAGCAGCAGCAGCAGCAGGGGTGTGAGGAGACTAGAGCAGCAGCAGCAGGGGTGTGAGGAGACTAGAGCAGCAGCAGCAGCAGCAGCAGCAGCAGGAGTGTGAGGAGACTAGAGCAGCAGCAGCAGCAGGGGTGTGAGGAGACTAGAGCAGCAGCAGCAGGGGTGTGAGGAGACTAGAGCAGCAGCAGCAACAGCAGCAGCAGGGGTGTGAGGAGACTAGAGCAGCAGCAGCAACAGCAGCAGCAGCAGGGGTGTGAGGAGACTAGAGCAGCAGCAGCAACAGCAGCAGCAGCAGGAGTGTGAGGAGACTAGAGCAGCAGCAGCAACAGCAGCAGCAGCAGGAGTGTGAGGAGACTAGAGCAGCAGCAGCAACAGCAGCAGCAGCAGGGGTGTGAGGAGACTAGAGCAGCAGCAGCAGCAGCAGCAGCAGCAGGGGTGTGAGGAGACTAGAGCAGCAGCAGCAGCAGGGGTGTGAGGAGACTAGAGCAGCAGCAGCAGCAGGGGTGTGAGGAGACTAGAGCAGCAGCAGCAGCAGGGGTGTGAGGAGACTAGAGCAGCAGCAGCAGCAGGGGTGTGAGGAGACTAGAGCAGCAGCAGCAGCAGGGGTGTGAGGAGACTAGAGCAGCAGCAGCAGCAGAGGTGTGAGGAGACTAGAGCAGCAGCAGCAGCAGCAGCATCAGCAGGGGTGTGAGGAGACTAGAGCAGCAGCAGCAGCAGGGGTGTGAGGAGCCTAGAGCAGCAGCAGCAGCAGGGGTGTGAGGAGACTAGAGCAGCAGCAGCAGCAGGGGTGTGAGGAGACTAGAGCAGCAGCAGCAGCAGGGGTGTGAGGAGACTAGAGCAGCAGCAGCAGCAGGGGTGTGAGGAGACTAGAGCAGCAGCAGCAGCAGGGGTGTGAGGAGACTAGAGCAGCAGCAGCAGCAGGAGTGTGAGGAGACTAGATCAGCAGCAGCAGCAGGAGTGTGAGGAGACTAGAGCAGCAGCAGCAGCAGGAGTGTGAGGAGACTAGAGCAGCAGCAGCAGCAGCAGCAGGAGTGTGAGGAGACTAGATCAGCAGCAGCAGCAGCAGCAGCAGCAGGAGTGTGAGGAGACTAGAGCAGCAGCAGCAGCAGGAGTGTGAGGAGACTAGATCAGCAGCAGCAGCAGGAGTGTGAGGAGACTAGAGCAGCAGCAGCAGCAGGAGTGTGAGGAGACTAGAGCAGCAGCAGCAGCAGCAGCAGGAGTGTGAGGAGACTAGATCAGCAGCAGCAGCAGGAGTGTGAGGAGACTAGAGCAGCAGCAGCAGCAGGAGTGTGAGGAGACTAGAGCAGCAGCAGCAGCAGCAGCAGGAGTGTGAGGAGACTAGATCAGCAGCAGCAGCAGCAGCAGCAGGAGTGTGAGGAGACTAGATCAGCAGCAGCAGCAGCAGCAGCAGGAGTGTGAGGAGACTAGATCAGCAGCAGCAGCAGCAGCAGCAGGAGTGTGAGGAGACTAGAGCAGCAGCAGCAGCAGCAACAGTCTAGTGAATCTTTGCAACTTACCTGGAGGTCAGTGTCCGCCCCCCCCCCCCCCCAGGGACCCGGAGCCCCCCCCCCCACCAGCACCCCGCT